ATCAACATTAGAACCATAAAAACAATAACAGCTCTTAATTCATAACTTCAAGAATTCATGTGAAAATCTCATCCAAAGGAGGATTCTACCCGCATAGCTTTCAGTTGGTCTCCTTTTGGTTTCTCAGCGAATTCAATTATACGCCCTTCTTCATCAATCTTCATAAGACCAAAAGCAGTAGCCCGTTTTTCATCCATAGGCAATGCAGCTACAGTAATATCAGCATCAGTCTCTCTATGCGCCTGAATAAACCTTTCATAATCCATTCTATATAAATGGTCCCCGGCAAGAACCAAGAACTCCAAAACATTATGCTCCTCAAACAACCACAAATACTGCCTCACTGCATCCGCCGTCCCCTGTACGTTCAAACTTTTGCAAATCAAAACCCAAAAAACCATAAAAAAAAATTCAAAACCCATTTTAGTAGTAGCCAACCTGGAACCAATTTGGATTCTCAGGACTCTGCTGAGCAGCAAGAACTTCGACGAACCCTTCGTTCTTGTAACCACCCATGTTACTAGCATATGCACGGGAAAGGTGGCGATTGAGTGAAGCAGAGTTGAATTGAGTGAGAACGTAGATTTTCGATATGTTACTGTTCAAGCAATTGCTAACAGGAATATCAATTAGCCTATAATTTGCTCCTAAAGGAACAGCCGGCTTTGCTCTCTTCTTTGTCAGTGGGTAAAGCCTTGTCCCTGCTCCGCCTCCCAAAATAATCCCCAAAACACTCTGCCAAAACAATCAAATTTCCCAAAATTTTCATCAAAAAGTACAAAAAGTTTTGGCCTATGAGCATATTTCAGTTACTTGAGCAATCGAATCGCGTCGTTTTGTGGATCAGACAAAAGATTCAGAGATATCAGAGACAGAAATAAAAGGAAACTTACTCGACTAGCGTCGGGGTCAAGGCATGTCTGCGAGTTCTTGGAATCCGAAACGGCTTTCGGTGAAACGACCAATGGAGTCCGTTCAGTTTGGCGGTAACGGGTAACCGTTTTGGAAACAACCTTGTCACCGTAAAGAGCGGAAGCCGAGAACGACAAACTCTGAGTAGCCGGGGATTTACGGATGGAAGAAGTGGAAGAAGAATGGGATGACGTCGCAGAAGGCAATCTCCAAGCACCGATCGCAGCCATGCTCACCATTTTGTATTTCGTGATTTTGGTCCGGTAAGTGAAGGATTCTGGAGTGGCATTTTTTAGGGGAAGGGGGAAGGATCTGAAATTGATGGGACCTCGGATTTGCCATTATTGTTTTGGTAAAATTACGCGCCGGACCTTAGGGGTTTTATTGCCATTTGGCGGGGGATTGGTCTGTTTCAGATCTTAAAAGGGGAGAAGGGTGTTTTGGGGATTTGGCAATGATTAAATCAGTTTTTTGTGGGGGAAAATATCTGGGAATTAGTGAGGAACAAATGGGTGAATGTCGTTTCGCAAGAAAACAACGGTCACATGATTGTAAGCTTCGATCACAGCCCTTTGGCACCGTCCATTTTTATGACTTTTTTCTTTATTTTCTTTTTTATTTTTGGATAACAAAATAATAAAAGCAGAAATATAAAAGTTTCAAAAAAAGGGAAAAAAAAAAAAGATAAATGAAATAAAAAAAATTAAAATTTATTTAGAGTATCTGAGCATGTATGTCAAAAGCTACAGTGGAGCATGAATCACAAATGCTGATAATAAATATTTTAATCGGTCACCCTCAGACATGTGACTTTATTACATTTATCTTTTTTTGTGATTTCAATAATAATATTTAATTTTTTATTAGTTTTTATTTTATCAAAACTTATCCTAACTGTTTTTTTTTTTTTGTGAGTTATGAGATTTATTTTTTACTAATTTTGAAATAAAATGTAAGATTTATTTCTAAATAAAAACCAAATGATGACATCTATAAAATGATAAGGTAATAAACTCTTTAGATGAAATTAAGAATAAGATTTACATTCATAGTTAACTATAACATTAACAAATATTTGAAAAATAGATGGATAAATTGAATACAGAAAATGGAAGAGAGTATACCATAAAAATATTATTTTTATTGAAATTTAGGGTGAAAATGTTAACTGTTAGTATCATTATTATTACATAAAATAAAATAAATTATATAACTCTATTAATAAGAAATTGAGAGAACATGAGATTTAACTCAAATTTATAAAATTATTTTTAAAAAATAATTTTATTTAAGATTTAAATTTTTTTTTTTTAAAATATTATTTTTTATAAAAAAATTAAAATAATATTTAAGATATTTAAATTTTAAAACTTATAATTTATTTTTTAATCTCAAATTACTATTTTTTATTAAAAAAACTGAGCATTGAAATAAAATATGCCCATTTAGTTTTTTTTTTTTTTCATGTAATAATTACTTGAAATCGTTAATCAAAAACATAAATATTTGGGATGGGCCTGACAAGATGAAGTGAGCTCGTGACACGTGGGGTCATCCCCTTAGAATGTTGTTTAGCGACGAGCAATGTGCTGAGGCGTAGGGCCTAAGTGGGACCAGAGATGGGCTGGCGTTTAATAAAACAAAGGGAGTTTCCCCCATTCAACTTGAAATTCATGGCTGGCCATTCCTCTTCAAAAAAAAAAAAAAAACAAACTTGTTGATGTTGATATGCACATTCCGGGCCGTCCAAATCTTGATTGAAAGTTGCTGATGTAGGTGTTTTATACCAACCGTTGCTTTTAAGAAGGCAACGAGGTTTTGATTAAGTGATAAGAGGGAACTTTAGAATATCAAGTTTTGTTTAAATTTTATTTTGTGTGATTTAATTATTTAGTAATATTTTAATTTTTTTAATTAATTATTCAGATATATATTATATATAAATATAATATTTGATTATTATTATATCATTTTTAGACTTATAATTAAAAAAAAAAGCTAATTATACCTTTGTCTACATTGTAGTTGGGTTTTGAAAATTAATATTAAGTTATTTTATTTATCTAAGAAATAATGATTCCAATTTAATTAAATAAAAGATATATACATTCATCATTAAACTAATTAAATGTTCCATATTACTAAGATTGTTTTAAGAAAGAAAGTAATAGTAACATAATTTTTAAAGTCATATTTTGACTTGAAATTTAATTTAATAGATTTACGATGTCACATTTAAGATACGATATCTAACATAATTTAAATTTCAATATTTAAATTTTTTTATTTTCAAATTATAATTTTTATTAAAAAATAATTATGCTTTAAAATTTAATATTATAATACTTTAGTGTACCCATATCATTATTTTTCTAATTGCCCTTTAATGTAAAAAAAAAAAAAAAAAACAAACAAACAAATATGCATCTTTGCATTCTATTTCAAAAATATATGCTTCATTCCAAGATAACAAGATTATTTTTCCCCTTTTCCCATCATAATTTTGAGAGAAGAAATATTAGGTTATGGGGATAACTTCACATAGATTTTCTTGCACTTCTTAATTTGGGTTAATATTATCCTGCATAACTGCAACTGAAAGTGGTAAGTTTTTTTTTATACCCTTTCTATTTGCAAAAATTAGGGAGGAGATGGAGTTGAATCTAAAATATTAATTAGTGATCATCCTATAAAAGTAAAAGCCATCAAGGCAAATTTGAGTTTATAAAGTGTTAGTTAAAATTGCTTTTAAACCATATAAAAATGGATGCGGGCATGTGAGATTTTCCAATTATAATTAGAGAAACCTAATTACATATATTCCAAATTTTAATTCTAACGATATTTCCTTACGAGAAGAGTTTGGGATTATATTTAATTAATGTTAAATTTATTCAATTGAGTTAACGGGTTGGATGTGGGCATTCCTTTTCTCTCACTTAAAAAAAAATTATTGTAGTAATTTTTTTTAATTTTATAAGTTGAGTTAAGAGATTAATACATTTTTTTATTAATAAAATTATTTTTATTTTTTTAATATATTCTAAATTATCTATATCATGTTAACTCCACTAAAAACCAATGAAATATTTCTAAATAAATGTTATTGATAATATTACTTATAATAGCACTAAATGTTACATCCATTGTTTTTTTTTTTTTTAATATTTAACTCGTACGGTAATCCTCCTTCCTTCTTTCTTCTTCGATTTTTTTAATAAAGTTTACATTTTTTAATTTCTAATAACAAGCAATGCAACTTTTTTTTTTCTTCTATGCACTCTGCCAAAGGTCAACAACTTAATCGACGGATTTTAATCCGATTCGATCCGATTTTTATAAGATAGGATTTATTTTTTTGAAATTTTGGTTTTAAATCGGGTCGGATTCGAGTTTTAAATAAATTCGATTTGATATTATATAAAAAATTATTTTTTAATTAATTATTTAATTTTTATTTATATATATTTATATAATGATAATTTTAAATATTTATATTTAAAAAATAATATTTTATATTTTAAAAAATTATATTTTATTAATTTTAAGTCGAATTAGATATCATTTATATAGTATCGGATCGTGATCGAGGTCGAGATCAAGTATGAAAAAACAAAAAAAAAAATTGAATAAAATCATATTCAAGTTTAATAACACATAAAGTAAGATTAAGTTCGATACGAGCAAAATCATCCGAACCAAACCGGCATCAACCCTAGCTGAGTTGAAAAGTACAAGTGTGCATGTTTTTTTTCTTTTTTTCTTTTAGAAACGTGGAAGCTTCATTTCTTCTTATTGGATCCAATATTCAACATCAAGGAAGAGCACTTTTCGATAATAGTTACATATAATTCGACAGGATAATTGCGTGTGCTTGTCTGTCTTATTGATGTTAAATATATATAAAATATAAAAATTTTATAATTTGAGTCATTAAATACAAATTTTTTTATCGTAACTCATATAATTTTTGTTAAAATTTCAATTCGTATAATTTTATATGTTTTTTATATCATTTTTCTTTTCATGTTTGAAATTATCTTAGTTACATCTAATAATACATAACCACTTTTATTTTAGAAAAGCTGCTTGTAGTAAGTTATTCTTGTAAGTTTTGTTTCAATTCTTCTTGTTAAGATGATGAAAGTTTTGGCAAGACGACTGAAATTTTGAGCACGACTTGGAGATACTGCTCCTTTGTTATATACATGTTTTACCGTCCATAACCTCCATTCTATAATAATGTTTTCTGCTAACGTTGAAAAATTGCTTTGCTGGAATCTTACAGGGGTTTATGTTAGCATGAATACACGTTTGAAGACAGTGAAACTAACACTGAAGAAAAAAAAAAAAAAAAACAATACCAGTTACCCGGCCTTGACCATCTGAGTGTGATCAGGGGGAACAACATTCGTTATTATATTCTCCCTGACAGCTTGAATCTGGAAACTTTGCTTTTGGAGGAGACACTTAAGCCTAAGAAGCCAGCTGCTGGTATTTATAATTTATATATTTACTCTCGACTCTTTTCTGTTCCCTACTGTTTATATTTGTATGTGTAACTTTTACTTATTTCTACTTATCTATCCATCATCTATTCAGGGAGGCCTTTGGGATGTGGGAGGGGAAGGGGGCGCAGCCATGGCTGTAGCCGAGTTCGCTAATTGCCTTTTTGGAAACAGCCTCTCTCAGCTTTTGCAGCGTCATGTACTTTGCTATCCGAATGTGCTAGAGAAGAATTGAAAGGAATGACCAGTTTCTTTCTCTCTCAGAAAAAGGAAAGAAAAAGAAAGAAGCATATATAAAGAAATAATTATATCTATTAGTAACCCGTGGATGACTGTTGTTAAAAACAATATGATCGAGTATCCAACAGCAAAGTATAACAAACCTATGAATCCACAATCAAAGCACAGAAAAGTCTCAACTTGGAAAAAGATACTAATTTTCAGCTGCAGCAGCTGCCAGCCTGAGAAGATGTACCATCTCTACCTCCTGATGAGGTTGTGTGAGTTTCATGTCCAATTTTTATGCCATAAGACTGCAAAAACAGAAAAAAAGTAAATAAATGAAGGTTAATGATTCAAGTATTCAACCATTCCAAATTGCTGAACATTTCTCCAATACCCAACAATTTATTATAAAGCTGGAATGGAGATAATTCCTAAATTTTTGCATTGATGCACTATACTAAAACTTAAAAAAGCATGAAATCGAATCCATTTCTTTTTTTTTTTAACTCTTATTTGACATCTTATCCATTATCACCAGAAATACAAGCAAATTTCCAATTGTATATGCAGAGGGATGCAGATCCTCATGTATACCGGGGATTAAGCGAGAATACCAGAAGGGAATTAAGACTGCGCTTTTTATTTTTCTTTTGCTTAAAGAGAGAAAAAGTAGAGTGGGGTCGAGAATAAGATCAAATTCACATATGAACTAAACAACCAGATGCCAAATTTGATGTAACTTTTGCCATATTAATTGTAACACAGAAAGACAGAAAGGGAAGAAGGAAGGGATAGAGGACAAATCGTGAGTTGAAGTCAACAGTTTGATACAAAGAGATAGTAGAAATGTGGGAAATATAAGCAGACAAGCTAACCTCATTAGATATGTCAATAACTCCGTCCTGAATTTTCTTGTAGATTTTTTCAGCTGTGCTTATAAATGCCTGCAATAATTTTTTGTTAAAAATTCTAGAGCATGTATATCAAATAGTACATATGAAGACAAGCTTATTTATACTCATGCTATAGAGCATTCTTATCACCTCTTCAACATTTTGAGCAGTTTTCGCTGAGGCCTCCATGAATATCAGCCCATGTTCCTTGGCAAACTGCTCACCTTCCTCTGTGCTCACAGCCCTTCTATGAGACAAATCACACTTGTTGCCAATAAGCATAACTGTCATGTTTGCATTTGCATGCTGCCTTGCATCCTCCAACCAGCTAGCCAAGTGATTGAAAGTCTCCCTCCTGATTATTAATCATATATGCATGTAGCAGTGTTATTATTGCAGCTGAAAGCACATGCGAAATTGTTTCTTTGGATAATATATGCATGTAGAAAACGCACAAGAGAAAACGTTGGTTGTCTAAAACTTCATTGACATAACTTAAAAGTTCTGAAAAGAAAGAACATATACCTAGTAATATCATAAACTAGAAGTGCACCAGCAGCTCCTCTGTAGTAAGACCTTGTAATGGATCTGAATGACTCTTGGCCCGCCTGACAAAACAAAGAAAATTCAGCATCCACAACTGAAAAGAAACACATGCTTCAGATTTTAAATGCCTTAAGCTAGGGTTAAGTGAGAAGTAAATTGTAACAGACATAACAACCACTGAGGTCAAATGCTACAAATAACCTTTGTATCATCGAGGGAATATTGCTGAGCATATAAAATCTAGTGCAGCTAATCTTATATTGTCCTACTTAAGAGCATCATAATGCCTATCTTTTTTCAATGACAGTAACCAGTACCATAAACAATGGTATCAACCATGAACTTGTATTCCTGAAAGATTGAGTAGAATGATTATTTAATATTAAGGGTAGAACTATAATCCATTTATCTTAATACACCCCTTCTGGTGCTAGCCTGAAAGCTTGGCTTCACACATGGTCATACTCAGACCAGCCAGGAAAACAATAAGTTTACAGGATAACAAATTTTGAACCTTCAACATACCATTTCGATGCTTTGTTAGAGAATCACTGTGCAATAAATGCTTAAATTGGCAAATAAAAGTTAAACAACACATACAGACACGTTGCATGGATGTAACTTTCAACTAAAACATTTAAAACCAACAAACGAGGAAAAACCAACCGTGTCCCAAATTTGAAGCTTTATTGGCTTGTTTTCAATGGTGATCATTCTGGCTCCAAATTCAACACCAATGGTTAAATCATGAACAGGCTGAAATCGTTTGTCAGTGAATTGCAAAAGAAGACATGATTTTCCTACTCCTGCAAAAACAAAAAGAACATATTTATATGCCACACTTTCTGTGACTTCAACACAGGGGACAGCACTAACATAATATCCTTGGGAAAACAATATTGCAAAATGGCCAAATTGAGTATCATAAGCAAAAAACACTTAAAAGTAGCAAGCTTCATTGGAATGCTTCGGTAAAGCTTTAAATTCCTAGCAAATTCAGAACTTGATGTTGCTTTTAACAGAATCAAACTCATAAGACAATTTTTTAAGGATAAAAAAATAGCCCATGAATGAGAACTAGAGAAAGAGTCGAAACTGCAAATTAAACATATAAAGAAACAACCAAAAAACATACAAGCAACGACCCGGATATCAAATTTCAAAAAAAAAAAAAAAAGTAAAGAAAGCACGAAAGGAATCTTACCAGTATCTCCAATGATAATGTACTTGAAAAGGTAAGCGTAAGACATCGTTTCTGCTCGTATTTGTACAAACCTCAAATACCCAAAGTCCCAAATTCTGTACTTTCGTTTTGTAAACGAATGATCAGATCTTATGAACAAAAGAATTCGATTTATATCACCCAAAAACAAAACAAACAAGAAAAAAAAGGTTTTTTTACTTTAAATCAAATGGTTTTAACCGTGTGAAAACGTATGTGAAGAATGAAAAGAGATTGTTAAAGCAAAACAAGAGAAAAAAAAAAAAAAAAGAGAAGTAATAAAGGACTCAATGATCTCCTTTTCTTCCCCCGTCTATTTCCTCTCGACGATGCAATTCTTTTTCAATTACAAGAAACAAAACGTAAGGGCCTTATCTTGCACAGAAACAGGCTGTTTGTCGGTTATCTTAACCGCGAAGAATTATCCAGAAAAACAAACAAGCAAAGGTTAAAGGCTCAAACCCAATGCTATCGAGTTCAAGCCCAAATAAGACCCTCTGACTTTGATACAGTGCCTAGTTTTGTTAAATTCCCGATTTGAATTGGTTATCAATTTCTATCCAATTCCTATTCTAATTTATCAATATTTTTAAATAAGTTTTGAACAAAATATAAAATACGATATAAATGTTTTCCATGTGGCAAAAAATACACACGTAATGTGTCATGTTAGAATAAGTTATTATTTATTTTTTATAAAATTTTATATTAAAATTAATTATTTTCATATATTAAATAGATTGAAAATTAATTTTAATGAATCAAATAATTTATGCTTAAGATCTCATACATTTTTTTTTATTATTTTGAAGAAGGAAAATTTGGCATGAAGAAATATTTATGTAGGGTTACATATAATTTAAATCGATCCTTTTAGTTTTTAGTAGAAATTGTACTATAACCTACACCAAAATTATTTGATTTTTACCTGATATCAAACATATCTTTGTAGAGTGAAAGTAAAGTATCCACGTAAATTAGTTCATTTGATAAAAAGAATGGCATTTTTTTTTGAATCGTTGTTCAATCTTTGTAAGATTATTCTAAAAATATTTTTTCAAAAATATTCAAAAAATTAAGTCTAAATAAAATCTAATAATATGTATAATTATATTATTAGCAAAATATTATAAAAAATTTGATAATTAAAATGGCATTAGGACAAGACATAATACTATTATGTCTGTAAAATAATAAATTCATGTTTTTTTCTTCTTTTTTTTTCATGTTTTTTTCATGTCTATAAACTAAGTGATGATTATATCGAATAACCTTTGACTCTTACCTGATAATTAAAAAACATGGATGTTTGTTTACATATAATTGGTAAACAAACATCCATGTTTTTTTTTATGTCGTTTTATTTTTCCTCTCAACCATTTTCTCCGCCTAATAAGAGCTTTACCATCATCTGATCAAGTGGGGACTGAAGAAAAAGAGTTAAAAGAGGTTTAGGTTGCAGCTTTCTTTGACTGGAAAATGCATGCCTCAAAAATCTTTCCCTTGTGAAAATTCAAAATAATTATTATGATTAATTATGAAAAAAAAAAGAAAGCAATTATACTCCATAATTATAATTATGCATTAATAAATAATTAATTCAATTGATTAATATTTATTTTTATCGATAAAAAAAATTTTATTTGAGTTTTATGGATGATCATTTATTGAAATTATTTTAAATATATAATTTATAATTATTTATTTTAAATTATCAAATATAATATATTTTATTTTAATTTAAAGGATTAAAAAACTTATTTATTCGAATTTTTTTCTCACAAAAAAAATAATAATCATATTGTATATGTTCAATTTGCACATTATCTTATAAAAGTATATCTAATATTTTGAAATATTATATTTTAAATTATATATCCATTTTTAAACACTCAATATTCTTTTTTTTTTAAATTTGTCTTTCCATATATATTTTTTATTTTTTAACAAAAGAATTCTTGAAATTAACATTATTTTTACAAATAAATTTTTAAAATTTTAATATAAAATATATCAAATTAAAAATAGTTTCTAAAATAAAGACTAAATAAAGGGGAGGGAACACCAATTTTTATTGCATTTTGCTCATAAATAAAAAAAATGATAGTACAATGAAAGGAAGCAAAGAGACGCGTGAGGCTGTCCATCTTCCATCATAAATCAGCCCGTGAAAAGGACGCTCGACACTTGAACGTGGCTTCCGATTTGACATGGGCTTTTCTATGTGCAGAGTGATGATACCATTAATCCTTTAAAAAATAATAAAAAAAGAGAAATTATCAATTATATTTTATTAGGTTCCAATTTCGTTAGACAGGAATTTTATTTAATATTGTATTAATTAATTAATTTAAATTTTTATTAATATTTTATAAATATAATAATTATATCATATATATTTTTGATAAAAAAATTTAATAATATATAAGTTATTCATTCATTCAGATTAAAATAAAATATATCGTATATGACAATTCAAAATAAATAATTATAAATTTTATATTTGATATAATCTCAATAAATGATCATTGATAAAATTTAAATTCAAAATTTTTTTGTTGATAAAAATAAATTTAACGGATTAAACCAATCATTTATTGATAATTATATAATATATATTTCATAATATTTAATATAATTGTAATTTTACGTGTGCATATAATTTTACAAAAAATAAAAAATATATATTTTATTGGTAAAATTAACAGTGTTAAACATATAACTAAATGTATTATTGTCTTTAACTTAAAATTTATAATTTTAAATATTGAATTTTTTATAAACATTAATTAAAATTAAGTGATAATATATTTTATGTTAAACAATAAACCAAAATTTTGTTATTTTTGCAAATAAGAAGATAATTATAAGAGCACTTTATTAACATGGATGTATGAAAATTTTTAAATTTTAAAATAATAAATTTTTAATTTTAATAATTAAATTTTGGTTCATCATAATTTTAATTATTAAAAAAAGGTTTTTATGAGATTTATTGTTTTTTTTTTTTTAGGTTTTTATCATCTTGGGGGATTCGACCGAGTCAAAAGCACAGTTTGCAAGATATTCGTCTTGGGTTCCTCAAAATTATTATTTGATAGGGACCATTTTTTCTTGTTTAAATCATTACACTCGTGGGGGGCCAAAAAAGCAAATAATAATCCCTAGATAAAGATCTCCTTTTAATAATATCCTTGACATGCATGCTTTTTCTTCCATGGCCGTGGATGATGATGTCAAAATCTTCAATAATTTCTCCAACGAAATCTTGCCTTCTGCCCCTCCCTTTCACAAACTAACAACTAAAGCAAAGTAGATGAAAAGCAATAAAGACCAAAACCAAAATGAAAAACAGCGAAAGAACGAGGAAGGAAAATCAATCAAGATAGAGATATCCTTTCATATAATCAGACAACATGAACATTACTGTTCAAGCTTTTGCTTAAAGTTTTTGTGATTAGGATGATAATTTAGAATTAATGTAATTTATTTATATAATTATTTTTAAAAAATATATTTAATAATTTTAAATTTTAAATTATATTATTTTTAACTTTTTAATGTAAAATTTAATTTAATTAATTTATATAATAAATTTACAAGATAACATTTAATAATTTTAAAATTTAAATTTTAATAGTTATATTTTTTTAATTTTTAAACTTTGATTTTTTATAAAAAAGATTATGATTATGATGATAATATTATTGTTTTAATATTAATTTCAGTAGAAGAATGTGCAAATTCTTCATATAAAAGTTTTATAATCAAGAATCTAATTCCCTCATTTGCAGCTTGATGCTATTAATTATATATAATTGAAAAAGTTATCTGTACTTAAAAACAAAACATATGGTGTTCAAAACATGAAGGTTGGGATCAACATCATGAGATATTGAAGATAGTTGTTGTGGCAATGAATATTGAGGGGTTTGGGATTTCCTTCATGACCTGGAGGCATGCAAATATCTTTTCGCTTTTTTCTCTGGGTATGTATCGCATTGCTCGAGATAGTAAGAGATGTCATGTCAGTTGTTTTTGTTTTTTTTGTTATCTTTAATACGTTTGACTCCACTGTCCTCCAGTTTCTGTCACCTTTTCTCTCTTAAATACGGCAGAAGTTGTTCAGTTTTCTTTCAATTCATCTTCCTATTTTTTCAATACTACTGGCTTAAATTTCCGACAAATCTGAAAATAAAATTTATGACTTTTTTTTATTAAAAATATTATATAAAAATATATTTTAAATTTTAAAATTTATAAATTAATAGTATGGAAAAATAATTATTAAAATTTATTAGTATTTATTCAACAATTAAAATTTTGTTAAATTTTTCATAAAAATATTTATATAATTTTTGTTTTTATATAATCACATTTAATTTAAAAATATTCTTCAATTCTAATTAAAAAAGTTTGTTTAAATCGTGGCGTAGATTTGGAGGTTGAAACGTGAAAGCTCTGAAAGTCCAAAGTGTAAAATAAAATCCTTTTCAATTTACATATCCCGTATTTTCAGCTAATCTGCTCTCATCACTTTAACTTTGGTCTACATAATATTTCGTCAACTCAAAGCTACCATTTTACATATATTGCTTATCATCATTTCTTGGTTTGTGGGAGAGCAATCCGTGCAGGAAAAAAAAAAAGGTAATGACGAAATCGCTCTTACTCTTGTTGGAGTCATGTGAGACTGAGTATATCTACTCAAAATATATGTATAGAAGAAGCGATCACTCCTAAAGATATAATAGACTAAATTTGAATAGATGTAATATTAAATTTAATTTTAAATTTGATTTAAATTTTGAGATTTAAAATTTAATTTAAATTTGATCAAATTTTATTTTTGTAATTCAAATTTGATTTAAAATATAAATTAAATTATTTAAATTCATTCGATTAGATTCAATTAATATATAAAAATAAATTTAATTTTTATATTTAATAAAAATTTAATTATTTATATTCGAATTTAAATTTAAATTGATATATTTTATTAATTAAAATAATAAAAATATATTTAAATATAAAATTTTAATTAAACTCATAAACTATTCAAATTAAATATAAAAATACTCAAATTTAATTAAATCAATAAATTAAATCATTCAATTTAAATTTTATTTAATAATAATCAAATTAAATTTAAATTTTATTACAATTAAATTTTAATAATTTATAAATATTAATATATCATTTATATTCCGAACACCCCCTTTTTTGCCTGAAATTATCAATTAAATTAACAGCTTTTATCGGTCAAAGGCTTTGAGTGGTGTGAGTACAAAAGTTATACGTACAAAAATTTGTTTCCTGGTTTCACCCATTGGAAACTGTCCAATTTGTCACCAAAGTACCTGAGCCCCATACATAGCTGGCAGCAGTCCATGTCTCCTCTG